CCTGCTTTCCTGTCACTCGGGTCCCTGCGATTGCATCAAGCCCACCTGGGTAATCCAGGAGGGTCGCCTTGCCCAAAGACCGTTAATTTAACTATGTCTGCAAAGTCCCTTTTGCCTGATAAAGTCATGTTCACAGGTCCCTGGGGATAAGAACGCGGCCAGCTGGGGCGGGGGAGGGGACCTCTGTTCAGCCCACTACAACTAGGCTGCAGAAGGGACCACTCCGCCTGCTGGTATTTCAAAGGCTGGGAGAAAAAGGGTGGGCCTTTTCTGCCTTGGGTTCAGCAGGGTCCTTCCAAGCCTTGTATCTCTAAGGGCTGGGCTTCATCAACCCTCCCTTCCAACCAGAGACACTCCCTGCAATGTCTCCTTGAAAGTCAGGTGGCAAGTCGAAATCTAACTGCTGGTGAGGGGTTCAGAGCCAGCCAAGAAGCCGCCGAGGGTGCCTGCCTTCAGCCCACACCCCGCTGGCTGTGACAAGCCCACGGTCCGGAAGGGACACAGAGAAGGCTCTGGGGCCTGCCGCGGGGGGCAGGGAGGCCGCGAGACGAGTGAGGCCCGCTAGGACAGCGCGTGTTGGCCGGAGCTCAGGTGTGGCTGCTGCGCTGTGGGAGCGGAGGGGGAAGCTGGGGGCTGTGGTCCCCGCCCACAGAGATGACAGAGACCGTGGCTGGGAGCGGCGCCGAAGTCACGGAGCCTCTGTGAGAGTGCGTCTCTGCCCCGTAGCATCTGGGGGCAAGGCCTCACCAGACACATGTGGCTCCAAAGTCCCAGGTTCGGGCTTTTCCTTTGTGATGGGAGAGCAGCGGGGGCAGGGGGAGGGCAGCGGCGGCAGAGCAGGAAGCCTGGAGCCTCTCTTGCTACCTCTTCTCCGTGTTCTGCATCTGCAAGCTGAGGGACGTGAAGCTGGCCAGGAGGTCGGTCACCTCATCCACCTGTGGGACAAAACCACGGCTCTGTCACGGGTGCCTCGACGGGCCCAGCTGTCTCGGCCCCCGATCTCCACCCTGATGCCACAGACTCGGGAGGGTAGGCGTTGTCTCCTGGGGCACGTGGTGGCTCCACTGACTGTGGAGCAGCTGTCCGATCGATAGTCCTGGACTCCAGCTGGTCTCAGACTGTCCCCGAGAGAAGGGCCACAAGTGGCGTCAAAGGACGCAGACAGGGGCTTCGACGTCCACAGGGGGCTACAGCCCCCCAGCCGCGGCCTCTTTCTACTCTGAACGTCTAGCTGTAGCACAGCAGAGCGGCACCGGCCCCGAGGCTCCCGCCAGGCCCTGGGTCTGGCCCTGGCGCCGCAGCTCACCTGCTCTCTGGTGCTCGTCATCTGGAGGCGGGTGCAGAGGTCATCCAGCCGTTCCCGCTGCTCGTGCCGCCCCAGGCGCTCCAGGTACTCCCTCAGCATCTGGATGATCTGGAACAAGGGGCCGGGCTGAGTTGCTGGGGGTCTCGCTAGGTGGCAGAGAGAGAGAGCTGCCGCCGCCGCCGCCGCCGCCGCCGCGAAGCCCAGTGGAGCGGTGGCCGGATGGGGTCGGTGTGAAGCAACCCAGGCGCCCGGGTCGCGCCCGGGCAGGCGTGTCTGTCTGTGGTCCGGGCGGCACCTGTCCGGCGCTTGTTTGTGCCGTTGGCCCAGCGTGAAGGGCACTCACCTGCTTCACCTCCAGCCGCACAGCCTCCAGGCACTGGGAGTGGCCCTCCTGCAGGATGTTCAGCTTTGACTTGGCCAGGTGCAGGGGCGTGCGGCCAGCTCGGTCCAAAGCATCCACACGGGCCCCTGCGGGAGCAGGCGGAGGTGAGCGCGCTGGGGGTGAGGGCGAGAGAGGAGGGCGAGGGGGCGGGGAGCACGTACCTCCTCGCAGCAGTGTAGTGATGACGGGGACATGGTTGGTGCAGGCCGCTGAGGAAGAAGAACAGGGACCTGAGAGTCCGGGACACCAGGGCCTGGCCCTGTGTGCCAGCTTGGCTGCAGTCGCTGGGACTGTGCCTCCAGGTGTGCCTGCACCAAGGCAGCAACGGGGCGGGTCCAACTCCCTCCCCGTTCAGCTAGGGAGACCGAGGCTTGGGGATGGGACCTGCTGCACCGAGAGCCATAGTGTGGGTCGGCCACGGGGCAGCAACAGGCTTCAGGTCTCACCTTCCCTAGCAGAGCTCTGCTGAGCCATTGAGGTTGCTAAAGCAGCTGTGCTCAGGACCCAGCCAACCGGTGACCCAAGGGGGAGTCCATGAGAGGCAGACTGGGGGGTGGTGGTGGCCCCGGGGGCTCGAGCTCTCCCCAGATGATAGGAGATCTTGCTGGGAACTTACAGACAGGCCCCCGGGCTCTCCATCAAAGGAGCCTATCTGTGCCGCAGAGAAAGGTGTCCTGGAGGCTTACCCAGGTGCAGCGGTGTATTCCCCAGCCCATCTCGCTGGTTGGGATCAGCCCCGTGGTCCAGGAGCAGCTGCACTGGAAACAGGAAAACCCACAAGGACTCTAACCGCCACCCCTACCTAGCTAAAGAGGCTTCCTCAAAGTGTGGAATATTGAAAGCAAATACGGTTCTCTAGGTTGTTTCATACATCCGTTCGTTCGTTCATTCGTTCGTTCATTCGTTCATCCACTTACTCACAGGGTTCATGTGCAGGATTCTGAGGGCCAGGAACTAAGGATTCTGGGAGAGCCTCCTGGCCCATGCAGGTTTGAAAAGACTGAGATTTTTTTTTTAATTTTTCAAATTTATTTATTGAGAGAGAGACAGCACGAGTTGGGGAGGAACTGAGAGACAGGGACACAGAATCTGACGCGGGCTCCAGGCTCTGAGCTGTCAGCACAGAGCCCGACGCCAGGCTCAGACCCATGAACCATGAGATCGTGATCTGAGGCAAAGTCAGATGCTTGACTGACTGAGCCGCGCAGGCACCCAGAAAAGAGATTTTTAAGGGTTAGAGAATGTTCTTCCGGGGCGCCTCAGTTGGTTAAGTGTCCAACCTTGGTTTCGGCTCAGGTCACGATCTCACGGTTCACGGTTTGTGAGATCAAACCCTGCATCGGGCTCTGTGCTGATAGCGTGGACCCTGCTTGGGATTCTCTCCTGCTTGCTCACTCTCTCTCTCTCAAAAATAAACATTTAAAAATTTTTTTTTAACATTTATTGATTTTTGAGACAGAGAGAGATAGAGCATGAATGGGGGAGGGTGAGAGAGAGAGGGAGACACAAAATCTGAAACAGGCTCCAGGCTCTGAGCTGTCAGCACAGAGCCCGACGCAGGGCTGGAACTCACAGACCGCGAGATCATGACCTGAGCTGAAGTCGGCCGCTTAACCGACTGAGCCACCCAGGTGCCCCTCAAAAATAAACATTTTAAAAAAAGATGGGGCGCCTGGGTGGCTCAGTCGGTTGAGCGTCCAACTTCGGCTCGGGTCATGATCTCGCAGTTCAGGGGTTCGAGCCACACATCGGGCTCTGTGCTGAGAGCTCAGAGCCTGGAGCCTGCTTCGGATTCTGTGTCTCCCTCTCTCTCTGCCCCTTCCCTGCTCATGCTCTGTCTCTCTCTCTCTCTCTCTCTGTCAAAAATAAATAAACATTTAAAAAATAATAAAAGAAAATAAAAAAAGAAAGTTCTTCCAACAGCAGTGGCTACTAGTAAGGGCTCTCAAGGACATTTTTTGCTCTTTCCACAGTCAAGTGCCGTAGTGGGAATTAGCCCAGTAGAAGATGCTGAACATCCCCCTCCCTGAGAGTCTCTATGCCCTCTCAAAGGTGGGTTGTGGTATTAAGGGCTTATCAGTTACCCAGATGGATGTGCAGGCAGACTTAACTCACGTGACAAGGCCACGTTGAGCCGCATGCCACATACAGAAACCAATGCAAGAGGTACCTTAGACCTAAATGTACCTTAGACCTAACTGTAAAAGCTGAAAGTCTTTTGAAAGGCTGGTAGAAGAAATCAAGAGAGTAGCTCTATGACCTTGGGATAGGCAAGGTCACAGAAATCCTTAAATAGGTCAAAGAAATGCTAACCATTAAAAAGAAAAGATCGATAGATTGGGTTCATTAAAATTAAGAACTTGGGTTCACTGGGGTGCCTGGGTGGCTGGGTCGGTTAAGCGTCCGACTTCGGCTCAGGTCACGATCTCACAGTTCGTGGGTTTGAGCCCCACATCCGGCTCTGTGCTGACGGCCCAGAGCCTGGAGCCTGTTTTGGATTCTATGACTCCCTCTCTCTCTGCCCCTCCCTCACTCACACCCTGTCTCCGACTTCGGCTCAAGTCATGACCTCGTGGCTCATGGGTTCGAGCCCCACGTCCAGCTCTGTGCTGACAGCTCAGAGCTCAGAGCCTGCTTCGGATTCTTTGTCTCCCTCGCTGTCTGTCCCTCCCCTGCTCGCGTTCTGTCTCTCTCTCTTAAAAATAAATAAACACTAAAAAATTAAAAAAACAAAACAAAACAGGAAAACGAACCTATGGTACTCAAGGTCTACGTGGGGCTAAGGAGCAGAAAGACAGGCTGCCAGGGTGCTGAAAATATTCTTTTCTTTGCTTTTTTTTAAAGTAGGCTCTACACCCAATGTGGGGCTCAAACTCACGACCCTGTAGAGCTCGAAGGATCACGACCTTGATCATGTGATCAAGAGTCACGCGCGCTACTCACTGAGCCAGGCAGGCACCCGTGTTAATCTCCTTTAGCTTGATCTGGGTGGTGCATACATACAGAAAGCTCACCGTTCATGAGTTAAACCACATCCAAAAATGACTCTTAAAAGGGGGAGGGAGGGGCTCCCCTGCTGCTGCGCTTGGCGCTGAGTAAATGTCGCCTGAGCGTCCTGGAGGCCTGGCCCCAACCACAGAGTCAATCGTATTCTTTCCCCTTTCTGGCAGTGCTAGTTCCACAGGCTGAGGGAGTGAGGAGGCCCCACCCCCCCCACCCCCAGCACCTCTAGAGAGAGGCTGCTTGCCCAGCTCCCCTCTCCCCTCTCCCCTCCCTCCCCGGGACTCACCGATCCGGTCATTGCCATTGCAGGAGGCAAAGTGCAGAGCTGTGCGGCCCTTGTCATCAGCTGCACAGGGATCCGTGCCATCGTCCAGCAGCTGCTGCACTGACATCGCCAAGACAGAGGGAGGGAGGGCGACAGAGAGGTAGTGTTAGTTACGCTGCAGCCCCCGGGGGTGAACACGGATGCTCAGGGGACCCTGCAGGTAAGGCACCGATAAGCCATGGGAGAGCGAGCTCCTCCTGGATGCCTCCCTGGCCTTACAGGGAATGTCATGACAAGGGACTTACTCTCCTGAGGGCACAACTGGGAATCCCCGATTCGGGCTGCTCAAACTACGTCTAGGGTTAGAACATCACAGAAGGATCTTGGCCCTCAGCGTCAGGAGTTCTCGAATCACAGAAATCCCCGGCACACAGGCTTTGGCCCCACATCCATTTGGATACACACCCTTTCCAGTTGGACACAGCAGCCCAAGCTGCGGGGCAGCGCTCACTTTGCTCCTGGGAGGTGGCCTTTTAGAGTGAGCGGCTAGAGCACAGGTTTGGAGCCACAAAGACTAAGTCCCAGGCTAAGCTGGGTAACGAAGAAAGGAGTACGTTGCCAACGGCACGGGGCAGTGGAAAGAGCGGGGCTCAGAGCAGGAAGGCCTGAATCTGGGTCCCAATTCACCGGCAAATGGGAATAATCTCCGCCCTGCCAATCTCCAGAGCTGCTGTAATAACAATAATGGATATGAAATTTCTTCATTGCAAAGTATGGAGCCATTATAAAATGTGAGGCATTATGTGACACATGTGTGTGTCCAGCTGAAATGGAGAAATTGCTGCCAAACATCATTTTAGAGCAACTGACATTTTTAGTCTCCGCCAGCGAACCTCTCAAGGACTCCAGACGAAGCCCGGAATCTCCTCCTCCTCCTTCACTTCAAGCTCAGGGAGGCACTCCATCATCCGCGGGTCCTCAGTGCCCAGTTCACCTCGCCTGCTCTGACATTAAAACGCCGCGCTGGTTTTGGATATCGTCCCCCTACGCCGAGCACCAGCCTGGCACCAGGTACCTGACTGCTAAGCCCGGTGACCCCCCCAGCCAGGTATCACGTCCATCTTACAAGCCAGGAGAAGCGCCCCACTATGTGATGTGCCCCGGGTACATTCACCTGGCTATCGGGGGGCAAAGCTGCGACACAAGCCCAGACTTCTCTGGTCTCTCCAGAACTTAGACCTCTCCAACTAAACACACCCCCCCACCTTCCCCTTTTTTTTGGGGGGGGGGGCGGGGGGGAGGTTTATTTTGGAAAGGGGATCACTTTATATTCTTTTTCTTGAATTATATTGTAGGTTTTTTGTTTCATGCATCTTACTTAATACTTAGGATCGAGACGGGATTTGCGCAGCTCCAGGATCGCTGTTGACTAACTGAATGAAGGTGGTAGGAAAAGGATTAGGAGAGTGGAAGAGAAGGGCTTCAAGCCATCTCAGTACATTCACCAAAAGACAACCCGTATCAAAGAGATAAGACAAAGCTAAAAGAGTCCATTCTCTTTCGTGCTTTGTGCAGGTATGGTCTTTTTGGTTGGTTGGTTGGTTTCTTTCTTTCTTTTGAGAGAGAGAGAGAGAGAGACGGAGGGAGAGAGAGAGAGAGAATGCAAGGGGGGAGGAGGCAGAGGAAGAGGGAGAGGGAGAGGGAGAGAGAGAGAGAAAGAGAAAGGAAGGGAGTCTCAAGCAGGCTCCACGCTCAGGGGGGAGCCCCATGTGGGGCTCGATTCCATGACCCTAGGATCGTGACCTGGACGGAAATCAAGAGTCAGATGCTCAACTAACCAACCGACTGAGCCATGTAGGTGCCCTGGGCAAGTCCAGTCTTTTTGGAGAGTGCTACAGCAGTATCTACCAGAAGCCATCAAAATATGCATATCTTGGGGCGCCTGGGTGGCTCAGTCGGTTAAGCATCCGACTTCGGCTCAGGTCATGATCTGGCAGTCCGTGAGTTCAAGCCCCGCGTCAGGCTCTGTGCTGACAGCTCAGAGCCTGGAGCCTGTTTCAGATTCTGTGTCTCCCTCTCTCTCTGACCCTCCCCCGTTCATGCTGTCTCTCCCTGTCTCAAAAATAAATAAACGTTAAAAAAATATATTTAAAAAAAAAACAACAAAAAAAATGCATATCTTTTGATGTGATAACCCCATACCTGGGAAATTATCTTAAAAATGAAAAACCGTTGTGCAAATATATGACTAACTAGGGGCGCCTGGGTGGCGCAGTCGGTTAAGCGTCGGACCAGCCAGGTCACGATCTCGTGGTCCATGAGTTCGAGCCCCGCGTCAGGCTCTGGACTGATGGCTCAGAGCCTGGAGCCTGTTTCCGATTCTGTGTCTCCCTCTCTCTCTGCCCCTCCCCCGTTCATGCTCTGTCTCTCTCTGTCCCCAAAATAAATAAAAAACGTTGAAAAAAAAATTAAAATATAAAAAAACAAACATATGACTAACTAAATAACCCTTGCTTTGTCCCTCTGAAGGCATGACGGGCATCTTTTAAAAATTGTGGTGGGGCGCCTGGGTGGCTTAGTCGGTTAAGCGTCTGGCTTTGGCTCAGGCCATGATCTCGCGGTTCTTGGGTTCAAGCCCCACATCAGGCTTTGCGCGGACGGCACAGAGCCTGCTTTGGATTCTCTGTCTCCCTGTCTCTCCCTCCCTGCTCATGCTCTGTCTCAAAAATAAATAAACATTAAAAAAAAAAAAAAGCTTTTGAAAAATTGTGGTTTTGATTGGAGAATGGAATGCTACAGTAATTTTTGGTTTTTACCTTGTAAGCTTAAAAAAAAAAAGAAAACAACCCATACAGCCATGTATTCATTCTACAAAGAGGGGGAAATGACATTTCCATTTTGAGAAAACAAATGGTGACAAAGACCGTGAAGAATTACCCAGCCTACAAAATGGTGTGTACAGCACAGTGCGCAAGCCCATAAAGACAAATTCTCTGCGTAGGACAAAGGATGGGAAGGGACAGTGTCACCAAAATATCAACAGAGATTATTTCCTTTGCTGCTTATGGGTGTTTTTCTTGTATATTTCCCTAAGCTCTCAAATATTTTAAACGTGTATATAATTTTCATATATGTGAAAATATGTTATTATTTAACAATAGGAGGACATCAATTTTATGGCCACGGTAATTGCTAAACGACAGCAAAAACCCAATCAACATGCGGAGAAGGAAAAGGAAATGCTGACCATAGAGAGAAAAGCAATAAAGAGGCTAATCCTACAGAGTCACCGTCGGAGCCTCGCAAGAGCCTGGTAAACCTAAGAGCCATTTAGATTTGAAGATGAGTGTGTCAGAGACTCTGGAAAATTACAGCATTTCTCTCAGTATAATGAAACCACCAACCAACCATGTGAGTACCTGATTCAAGATGCACTAGGCTTTCTGTGGAAGGGGAGCGTAATTCAAATCTTCTCTGGCCACACACTAGCGATCTTAAAAAGAGAACACATCATTTTTTCCTTGAAAAGCTATCTGGGCTGCTGCTGAAATATTCCAAAATATTCAAGTTCATGGAAAAGGGGACCAAAGCGAAGAGAGCTGAAAAGGCCTCCGGTTTCCAGGCCTGTTCACTAGGCTACGCCAGGGGTAATGGAACCATTTCAAGGCCCATGGTTTAAAAAAATTGTTTAATGTTTTTATTTCTTTTTGAGACAGAGAGAGACAGAGCATGGGCGGGGGAGGGGCAGAGAGAGAGGGAGACACAGAATCCGCAGCGGGCTCCAGGCTCCGAGCCGTCAGCACAGAGAGACAACAGCGTGAGGGTTCCGTCTACTGTCGCTGACCTTGAAGTCAGAGGGAGAAGACTCCAGGCCAAGGGATGTGGGTGGAGGCAGAGGGAGAAAAGGCAGAGGGAGACCGAGTTTCCTCTGGAGCCTCCAGAAAGAAATGTAGCCTTGCGGACGGTGAGATCTGTGTTGGATTTCTGACCCCCAGAATTGTATTTGAAGGAACTTGGGTTGGGCGCCTGGGGGGCTCAGTCGACTTCCGCTCAGGTCATGGTCTCGCAGTTTCTGAGTTCGACCCCCCCCCCCCACGTTGGGCTCTGCGCTGGGATCCTCTCTCCCTCACTCTCTGCCCCTCCCCTCCCCAAGTAAAATAACTTAAAAAAAAAAAAAAAGGAAATTTGTGTTCTTTTAAACCACTCTGTTTGTGGTAATTTGTTGCAGCAGCCGTGGACAACGAATATATGGATAAACTTTGATTTTTTTTCCTCTAGAACTGGCCCTTCTACCTCTGATGCTGCTACTGCCCTGTCGGCCAATGAACGCTGGACAGCAACAATAAAAACCCAGAGTGGTGGGGCCCCTGGGTGGCTCAGTCGGTTAAGCGTCTGACTTTGGCTCAGGTCACCATCTCACAGTTCGTGGGTTCGAGCCCCGCGTCGGGCTCTGTGCTGACAGCGCAGGGCCTGGAGCCTGCGTAGGATTCTGTGTCTCCCTCTCTCTCTGCCCCTCCCCCATTCATGCTCTGTCTCTCTCTGTCTCAAAAATAAATAAACATTAAAAAAACATTTTTTTAATAAAAAAAAGAAAAAAAAAAAACCCAGAGTGGTGTCCTGCTAGGAGCCCCTCCCACTCCCTTCACATGTCCTGTCAACGAAACAAGTCTGAGAACCACTGACCCAACTACCGCGAAGCCTCAGCTCTGTTCAGACGGTGGCTCTCCTGGCAGTTAAAGCTGACTGTTTGTTCCCGTTAGCCAGAAATTCTAAAAAGCTCCTACCCTTGTTGCCAGGTGCCAAGGATACAAAAGCAGACCTGGTCCCAACCTCAGGGAGCCCACAGAGCGACGAACCCTAGGACATCGGGAAGTTCAGGGTGACAGGGATGCATGGGAAGAGGCAGCATGTAAGCCAGCCTTGTCTCTTGCAAGTGAATTACAGTTATACAATATATACTATGAGCTTGGTCCAAGGCGTGAGCTGGCATATTGAATTCAAGCACTGTCTTCCCAGGAACTGGTTGCCTCGAGTTTTCTTCTCCTAGCCCAGAGGGCTAGCCCTGCTTTGCACACTCACCTGTTTCCACGTCGTTGGCATTGGCCGAGTCCCTCAGCCTCTTCAGAGCTGTGAAGAGAGTAAGAGAGTTCCAGTTCATTTTTATTTATTTATTTTTTTTCAACGTTTATTTATTTTTGGAACAGAGAGAGACAGAGCATGAACGGGGGAGGGGCAGAGAGAGAGGGAGACACAGAATCGGAAACAGGCTCCAGGCTCTGGGCCATCAGCCCAGAGCCTGACGCGGGGCTCGAACTCACGGACCGCGAGATCTTGACCTGGCTGAAGTCGGACGCTTAACCGACTGCGCCACCCAGGCGCCGCGAGAGTTCCAGTTCAAAACAAAACAAGTCATGATGAAGCCGAAAGTGGATGGCTTCCTAGCTAATCCACCATTCACCCACGATAGCATCTAAAGGGACAGAAAGGCACCAGGATACAAGAGACACTACCCTGGGAACAAGGAAAAAACTTGAAATGCGGCACGGCAAACGCGAAAGGCACACTGTGTCGCAAATCCTTCAAGGCCTCTGGAGTCAGCTCCTGGCTCTCCATGTCACCCACACGATGTAAAAAATACAATGGACATATCAGAGTAGGAGTTTGAGTCTGGCAGACACGGGTTCTCATTCCAACACGGCCACTTTCTGAAAGGTATGTGACTTGGAGCCAGGCAATCTCTCTGAGCCTCAGTTTCCTCTTCCACATAATGGGAACGGTTTCTGCATGGCTTGGAGTCATTGTGAGGATCAGAAATGATCACGTACCGCCCCACAGGCTCTGGCACACAACAAAAGCAGAGTGATCGCCGCATGTTCATCACCTTCCTCAATGCACCAAACATCCCCATAAAGCAAGTACTGTACTCACTTTACAGACGAGAAAACTAAGGCTGTTAAAACTTCTATAGTTCGCCTAAGGCTTAAACGAGGTACAGGGGTCCACACCCGGTCTGTGCGTTTAAACGAGTTGGTAAAACTTGCCTCCCCTCTCCGATACTAAAAGTAGTCTCCAGTGCTCCATTTTATTACCTACTTACTGATAGCCGCCTGGAGTCATGAAAAGTTTCCGTTCAGGAATTACCAAGCGCTTAAAGACAGTCTCTTTCACCTTCACGGTCCTTAGCCGCGCTAACATCCTGATTCCTACTGAAAGGAGACTCGACTCGGGAGGGGTCGCTCGGGGCCCTGGGCTCAGCCGTCCGAGGACCCCGTCCGGAGGGGTCGGGGGAGGTCAGGGCCCCGGGGTGTCCGCGCTCCTCACCGTGCACCTCCTTGCCAGTGGGCCCGAGCCGGCGGTGGGGCCTGGCGGCGCGTCTCAGCCGGCCGGCGGGGATCTTACAGCGCAGCTCATCGCGGGGCTCCGCGTCCTGCTGCCACAGGACGTGCAGGTAGCGCAGCGGGGACTGGGCCCCGCCAGACGCCCGGCCGGGGAGGCCCGCGCCGCCGCCCAAAGCAGACCCGAAGTCCGCGAAGGAGAAGAGGCCCTCGGGGCCCGTCAGCGGCTCCGGGGCCACGGCGCACTCCCCATCCGAGCTCGAGCGGCCGGAGCGCGGCTCGTCGTCCGCGCCCCCGGCGGCGGCTGCCATGGCAACGGCTCTGCGCGGGGCCTGGCCGCCGGAGCCTCGTTCCCGACCCACCAACCGACCCGCTTCCTCCGCCCTAAGCCTCGCTGTCAGCGGGCGAGCGGGCGGGTCCGGCCTGCAACCACGGCAACCGAAGGGGGGGGGGCGGACTCCTGTCGCGAGCAGCCAACCGGGCACGGTCGGGGCAATAGAATTGGTTTCCGGCAGCGCGATTGACGGACATAATAACCAATCACAAATTTGAACGGCCTACGCCCTCGCCGTACGTCGCCGCCGGAGCCAGTAAAACAGCTAAGTTTAAGACACCCTTATTTTTCCCCCCTCCGTTACCCCCATCGGGTGAGGGGAAGATAACGGGCAGAAGCTTTAACCAATCCCGTTAAGATGATCTGCAACCACTCTCTAAGGAAAATTAAGAAGCCGAACTATGGGGATGCATACGGTTTCATTTCAAAGCAATGAAGTTTAAAAAAAAAAAAAGGATTTCCTGGTGGGAAGTGCCTAGTGTAAGTAGGAAAATGAGAATGTGTTAAAATTGGGGGCTATTACCGCAAACCGAGGAGTAATAGCTTCTAAATGCGAAAGATCCCTTTAGTTTAGGTTCTCTCGTAAGCCCGGCGTTGATCACTGATTTACAAAGAATTGTAATTTAACGTAATTGCCCCACAGCGACACTGCAGTCCGAGAGCCAGTCGCTAGGAGCCAGGTAACTCTGTGTTCAGTTTCGGACCCAAGATCAGAGTCGCTGCTCGATGAGATGCTCACAGCCCTGTGGGGGTGGATGGAGCCGGAAACAGACGGGCTCCGCGCGCAGTGAATGAGCTTAGCAACCCCCTCGCACAACCCACTATCCCATAGACACTCCTATAAGGTGGACAAGGAGGACCATCCCTATTTCACAAACGAGGAGTTGAAGCCAGAGAGACAAGGGACTTGTTTATGGATGCCCAGCTGTCTTTGGACAAGGGCTTTGGTCCAGACAAAAGTTCTTCCTTCTCATTGAAGGTAACCTTTCTCTGACAGTTGAAAAGCACTTTCAGAATTTGTAGTGCTCTCAGAACAACATTGTGAGGTTTCTCATGGTACTGTAACGGAGAAAAATACTGTATGTTTGCTCTCCTCTGCCCCTTAGCTGATAAGTACATATATGCCAAATCCACTTGTAGCTAGAAGGAAACCTAGAAAAGAGATAAACACTGAACATGTGTCATTTACTAAGTGCTTGATATATATTGCACCATTTATTTCTCCCCTACAAGAGTCTTAGCAGGTAGATAATGTTACACCCACTTTGCAGACCAGGAAATTGAAGTCCTGAGATGTTATATGAATTATCCAAGGGTACTGGGTTAGAAAGTTGAAGAACTAGGATCTGGGGCCAGAACAGCCCTCTCTATCACACAGTTTTCTGTAATGAAGAACCTGCTGGAAACCTGGCTCCAGAGAGTTTAAGTGACATCTGGGTATTTATATCTCATTCCTGCTGGATATATCTGGAAATAACTTTACTATTCATTCCTCCTCTTTTTCCATGTAATAACCTCCAAGGTAGTCTCCTTCCCTCTAGTCTCTCTTTGTAGAATTCAAGGTGCACATGCTGGCTAACACACAATTCTTTTCTTGTCTGTAGGATCTGCCTACCCACTGAGTTCAGACTAAAGTGCAAACCCTTTATCCTAGCAGACAGCCATTGTCTTCCTCCTACAAGCGCGTCTGGTCCTCAAGCAATCTAATCCACTAAATATGTGTGCACTGTCACAATCTTTTAATTTGAGCAGGATCTCTACACATTTAGAGGCGATTGTTACTTCTCCTTTTTAAATCAATGTTGTTGAAGTATAAATTACATAGCCCACCCTTCTGTGTGTTTGAAAGCCACTTGTTCTTTTGGATTAGAACAATAGGATGTGGGTTGAATGTGGATCCAGTTAGCCATAGCCTCAGGGCTTTACACTTGAACTTGAGCTGTATTCTCCCATGCTGCCTGGCTTAGCAACTGGCAACACCACATTGTAGCTATTTGACTGACTGACTGACTGACTGACTGACTGAATGAATGAATGAATAAATGAATGAATGGAGATAGTATAGCCCAGTGGTTGAAACCATCAACTCTGGAGCCATGAATATGTGGGGCCATGGCTTTGAACAAGTGACTTTACCTTCTGAGCCTCAGTTTCCCACCTATAAAGTGAAGGTAATAGTAGTACCTACAGCATGTGGTTATCACAAGACTAAAT